ACCAGATCTCTGTCAATTCCTTCAGTCTGCAAAAACATCTGTAACTTCTTGGGCCACCAACCATGGCTTTCGCTTCTCTACCTCTAAATCTTTCCCCATCCTTTTCTCTCGCTCACGTACGGTCCCCAAACCCCCACTCTTATATAATGCTCCACTCCAATACCGTTCTTCTGGCAAATTCCTAGGCGTTATATTTGATTCCAAATTGTCCTGGCGAGACCATATCTTGTACATCAAAGAAAAAGCTCAACGTCGCCTCCGAATCTTACAAACTCTTTCACATATCTCCTGGGGCTCAGATCGCAAAACTCTCCTCCATCTTCATGTTACCTTGATTCTCTCCACTCTAGATTATGGATGTCATATCTACTCCTCTGCCTCAACCTCTCTTCTTGCTCACCTTGATACAATCCACCACAACGGTCTCCGCTTAGCCCTAGGCGCCTTCCGCTCCTCTCCAGTTGAGAGCCTATATACTGAATCAGGCATGCCATCCCTCTCTCGACGTCGAACCCTTCTCTCTCTCAGATGCTATGCTCGATTTCACCAATTTTCCCTTACCAAACTAACTATTCCACAATCCTTACTTCATACCTTTACCTCTTCTCCACGTTTACCAACTCCTCTCCCCGTACGCATGGATACCCTCCTCTCCCATTCCCCCTTCCCTCATCTCCGACCTCTCCCACTGTCTGTCCATTCCATTCCTCCATGGCTTATACCTAACCCCTGTATTTGCTCCTCAGTTTTCCCTGACCCACCAAAATCAGTTATTCCCTCTTCTACCCTTTTCACTCATTTCCTTAACCGTGTCTCCATTCATTCCTCCAGCATTCATGTTTACACTGACGGTTCCAAATCCATCTCAGGAGCTGGATTCGCAGTAACATTCCCAAATTGCACTTTCAAATACACCCTCCCAGCTGAATCTAGTGTCCTTACTACAGAACTATATGCACTCCTTTTTGCCTTAAGACGCATATACTCATCCACCTCTTCCTCTTGTACTATTTTTACCGACTCCCGTAACTCTTTAACCCTCATAAAGTCTATACACTCGACCAATCCCCTTGTCTGTAAGATCCAGAACTGGTTGATCTATCTATCCACACGTCACAAATCTGTCAGATTTTGCTGGGTACCCAGCCATGTTGGAATCCCTGGCAATGAACAGGCAGATACTCTTGCACGATATGCCGCAATGTCCACATCACCTCAACAATGCTTCTCACATATTCCAGCTACGGATTAGTACCCCCACTTTAAAACCTTCTTGTATACCCAATGGCAATCTTTTTGGTCAAGACACAACAATAAATTACATGCCGTAAAACCATCAATCTCCTCTTGGTCAGCTCCATTTCACAAAAACAGACGTTGGGAGACGGCCCTCCCATGATTACGTATTGGCCACACTCGCCTAACACATGCCTATCTGATGTCACTCTCAGACCCGCCCCTATGTCCTCTATGTAACATCCCTCTTTCTGTCCCACACATTCTCTTGTCGTGTCCACGCTTTAATACAGCACGTACCTCTGCTTTTCCACACCTATCCTCCCTTCACCGACCTCCCAACATATCAGACATCCTTACAGAATCCCACAGCTTCTGCCTCGACAACCTGTTCTCCTTCCTCAGACGCATAAATATCCTTCACTTGATCTAACTCCCTTACCTAAACCACCATAATCTTTTCCCTCATCTTCAACCTTTCAACACTATTCTAGATAGTTGACATATAGCAACTATCACCTGACATCCCCCTTTACTATACCTTCCTATAGTGCTATATGACCTTAGATGTCTAGCACATTTATCTTACCCATTAACCATTGTATTTTGGGTGAGTGCAATAAATTCCATTCAAACGATAATTATCGTTTTCGCTGGCAAGTTTCCGTGGTCTTTCTCGTTCAAATGATAAGCTATAATAGATAATCGTTATAGTAATGTAAGAAAAAAAAAACATTTATAATGTAAAACGATTCAAAAAGACAGTCTAAACTGTAAATAATATTTTAAAATTGGCAAAATTCTCTCTTGTATTTAATAAAAACAGATACACGTTTGCAACTAGCTGCTCGCCTGTTTGTTTACATTTGTCCCCGTCAGCTGACTGGATGAGAGTAGCGAGAATACGTCCTTATTAGCATTATACATTCGTTGTTTCGCATTAGATCGTCGCCACATAGCCAGAATAACGTCCATCATCGCTAGAGCCTGTGCGGGGATTGAACCCATATTTCTGTGTTTAGAATTTTGGTCGGTCTATTTCCGTGGTTCTCATCGCTAGTGTGACTGAGCGTGCCAAAATGACCACGATCTCCGTGGTGCCAGCGGAAAAGTAATGCGGAAAAAGTGCTAGTGTGACACGGCCTTAATGCGCGTTCAGTGAGTGTTTAGTGCAGTGACAGTGTGTGTGCGCAGTGCTTTTGGTGCATTTATTCATGCCCACGGCCCGACGTGTGCTTCTAGTGGCTACCAACAGACTGCACTGTGCCACGGAGTCCTCTCACCCCACAGGTCTCGCAGACTCCAGCGTAGCCACTACCAACGTCTATATAAGTACAGGTCTCGTCATTAAGAGACTCAAATTCCTCCGTCTCGCACATGACTTCACTCGGAGGCAGAGCCTGGTGGTTCGACATTAATCGTGTGATCATTCTTTGATGTGAGGTAGAGCCGTAAGGATCTCTCCCTATCTCCGTTTACGTTCGCTTGACTGACTAGTGCGCGCAAAGCCACAATGCCCAGTGGTTGGTTGCAGCTTATATATGTACATTTATGTGTATGTTTATGTATTGCCATTATTATTATTATCATTATTATTGTATGATTCGTTTTATAATAAATTCGTCAAAAACATTTGTTTACATATGCCATGTCTTTTTTATTTATTTTACGTCTTTATTGTGCCAATTCTAAGCTGCAACATGAGAATTACAGAACTAAATTCACGTAGAATATATGATATACGCCTATAAACTATCGCTGATAATCATCGCCTGTAAAATCTGTCCAATATGCAAATCGTTCAACGTGCCGACATCTAAAATTACTTAAGTATCTGCTCATTTACCACCGTTTTCTGTCATCTCCCTCCCACCCTTCCATACTCTAATTCCCCCCGCCCCCCACTGCTCTCAGCTCTCGCAGAGTGACGCCATAAGCCTTATCACCCAAAGCTGGCAGAACTCCGAAGTGTGTTAAGCGTGATTACACATGTAAAAATGATATACAGAGTTTTATTTGATAAAAAAAACAACAACATTACATTGATTAATACGAACTACTGCTCCAAGGGAAACCCGGCACGTATTAATTTCCCAAAGACAATGATTAAGATGTATATTAACCTTCCGGAAGGACGTACCATTATCCTTCACGCAAGAATTCTTTCGCCATGTTTTCTATAAACTTTATTCAGGTATGATGTATTTCAGCGACTTAGGGATAACTGCACTGGGTGAAGACCACAGTGTATATCATTTTAGGTTTATGAGAGAAAATATACGAATAAGTATTTGAAACTTGTATATTATCGGTTATGTATCTGAACTTTAAAAAAACTTCACACGACACCAACCTAACCAGCAATCTACCTCAGACCATTGTATATCACATAGTATTTGCTCCTCGCACGTCCCCATCCCATGTAAACGTGATCCACCCATGTAAACGTGATCCACAATGCTAGGAAATACCGAAATGCATGTATTAAAACACTGTACGAAGGGGATCACATGTAACACTGTTCAAACACAGTTACACCCCGAAACCCATGATATGCATCTTTTTTTTTCATAGTGTCGTATTTATCTGATAAACGAGCTATAACTTGAGGTCTTACATTTCAAGGAACCTTCAAAGCTTACTAATATAATGAAATTACTGCATGATGTTCCAAGATATTCGTCTGATTATGCATTTGATTGAAACATTTTAGTCATTCCTTCAATATACGACGGGCCTCGCCAAAGCATTTAGGTAAAAAAATAACCGTTTTTAAAAGCAACTTGTATTTAATACTATATACTTCAAATGTGCTCATATTTTAACTATTCTAATACTTTAAAATTTTTGATGGAGTTGGAGGGTAATGACGCAGAAGAGTGGCTTTTATTGAAAACAGGCGGAATGAAGATTGGAGGCTGATGACGTTTTCCGACAGAGATTTCTGCAGTAAAGGTGGAATGACAATCTTCCAGAGAATCCTCATCAACTTTCAGCCACGGTTTAGAGTCCTTTGTGTGTAGCCAGCCGTCTTTAAATTATGTCTTTAGCGGCATTCTGCTTGATCAACATTTCATTGATAAACACCTCAGTCTCAATATACGTATTTCATTATCCTTTGATGGTATTGTTTCATTCCTCTGTTTAACTTTTGTCGAGAAGCCTACAATACTTAATCGTACCTTTCTCGTATTCGTGAGTGGATCTAACGTTCGACTTGCATGAGAGGTCCTGAAAATGGAGATCTCGTAATGCAAATAAATGTTATACCATGGGAAATACACAATTGTTAGAACGGCTTTTAGGTCTTCTATGCATACTATACACATCCCTTTATATTGTAAAAAGATAAATGAGGCAAAATCACCATAATTTGCACCAAATAATGAGTGAAGTAATATTACCTCAATCTGGCCGACGAGATTACCTCATACGGCATGAAATTGTATGGGGACGATCCGTAGAGTAAAAATTACTACAAATGGACCGAATTACGTCATTTTGGCAATCCTGACTGACTCTCGCCGAGCGCGGAAGCCATTAAGCCCCGCCCCCACCCGAGTAACACACACACATGCACAAACACGCTCGGATCGCGTGCTCCGTCCACATTCACTGACGTGCTGTGAAACTCTACATTTTGCATGAAACTGAGCTGTGCCTTACAAGTTTCTGGACTATGCTTCAATTTATCGGTTGTCATACAGCATCGTGAAGAATAATGTCTTCTTCACGACATTCTCCTGAGCACGCAGACACCCCAC